TCCCTTCCTCTCTATAAAAAAATAAATAAAATATATTTTTAAAAAATAAAAAAAATACTAATAAAAGTAAAATCTTAGCTTCCTTTCCAACTTGGGCCCAGCATAAAGCCTCTCAAAAAGAAGGATGGAGAGAAGTGCCTTTGTGCAGATAATTTTCTCAGGATCAATGGGCAGAACATAGGAGAGTCTCTATCCCAACCAAACCAAGGGTTTGCTATTACACCCCTAGGGAAGCCTGGAGGGCTGCTACCCCCAGGCTGCTTGGTAGACTATCAGTGCACCGCAAAGAAGGTGTAACTGTCCGGCGAACACTGTTCTTCCAGGGAGGCCTGGGCTGAAGAACCCAAGATGTGATCTGAGCATGGAGCCATGATAAGACCAGTGTCAAATCTGCCTGAAACGTGCTGATCACTTTATGCAGGCCCAAGTAATGTGGGGGGAGAGTGAAAATCTCTTTCTCTAATTTATATGAAAAGATGTCCGGGGATTCTCTGTGTTCGTAGCTGTACCCTGCCTGTACCGTGCTGAAACAGAGACCCCCACCCCCTGGAGCGTGTTGAAAATCAGCGCCCCCTAGCGTGAGCCAAGAATCAGAGTTCCCCAGGAATCCAGTATCAGAGTCTCTGTTGCTTTGCGCTACCTCGCCTTGAGAATCAGGTTCCCTGTGCGCCCTCGCACCAAGAATTGGAGTCACTGGCTCTTAGTATGAATGCACAGGGAGTCAGGGATCTCAGGGGCAGGTGCTAAGAAACACAGTCAAGTCACTGGTGCTTGGTGCTGCCTTCTGCCCAGAGAATCGGGGTCCCTGGGCCCACGCTATGCCGGACAAATTCCTGGTGTTTGCGAGATTGCTCCCAGCCCAGGACTCCTGAAGCCGGCAGTGCGCGCAGGATCAGCTCCGAGGTGCTCGCGCACTTCCGGGCTAAAGTTCCTGTAGCAGCACTGAGGCCCGGGCAAGGGGTGGGTCTATCAGTTACTATGGCGCTGCCCGAGCCCCTGCAGGGAGGGGGGTGGGCTCTGTTACTCACGGATCTGCTGCGGGGATTTCTGAACTTTTGGTGTCCGCAGGTCTGTAGCTGTGGTCACAGGTCTCTGTCCCCAGTGGCTGCAGGGTCCTGGTATGCGTCTGAGATCAGACTGGGTGGTGCTGAGGCCAGGATCCTAGTCTCAAGCAGCTCTGTTTCCCAAGATGGCGTGGTCGCTGTGCCTGTGCCGGCCGCCCAGGAGTGTCCGCACCGGGAGCGGGGCTCCGCCGTCTAAGACTGCCCGGTTTAGCAGCCCCTTAGAAGACCTGCAGAATCTAACTGTCCCTAGCTCATACACACACACACACCACACACGTCCACACACTCCTCTATCACTTCCTTGCGCTCTCACACTCTCTCCCTCCCTACCTTCCTGCTGGTCGCCATCTTCCTCCTCTGCAGATACAAGATTTTTAAGGAAAAAAGAAGGGGGAGATGTGGAAGACCACCTATTGTCTTCACTAGCTGATAAGCGTAGACAGAGAACCCCCGAAGGCTGGGTACCTTTGAAGCCCTAGCAGAGGTCGGAGGTAGGCACCACCTCCGTTTGTCCAGACAGTGGTAGCTGAAGCAACTTCCCCATTTATTATTATGTAAATCCTTGCTGATGGGCTAGTCTGCCTGTTGCTGGGGGGTCGCCTGCCTAAGGGCTATGCTATGGGTGCATCCCAGATCAATAAAAGCTTGGTGAGGCCTGAGCACCAGAGGAAGTCCTTCCTCCTGAGTTGGACTTAACCGCCTGGTCCCCCAATATTTCCAAATCATCTCGTGTCTTTTCTCTTTCATTTGTGTGCGGCTCCGCTTCCAGGTCCTGAACCCTGAACCACGCGGGACGTGGAGGGAATCATTTACCAACAACTTACCTTTTTATTCATTGTTAGAGAGAGAGAGAGAGAGAGAGAAACATCAATGAGAACCATCATCAGCGGGCTGCCTCCTGCACGCCACCTACTGGGAATCGAGCCAGCAACTGGGGCCTGTGTCCTGACCTCCTGGTTCATAGGTCGACGCTCAACCACTGAGCCACATTGGTTGGGCAGATGTTGACATGGGGTCCTGGAGCCAATCCCGGGATGACTGTACTGTATGATTCAAACTCTAGGACAGTCCGGAAAAGGAGAAATCCTGCCCTTCTGAAGAGGGGTCTTGGGAGGTCAGAGAAGGGGTGGGGGGGGGGGAAACACTTAGAAGTGCATGGACTAGAGGTGGCTGAGTGGGCAGAGTCGCTTCTGTAGGAGAAAAGAGCACAAAGAAGAGAAAGATCTCCTCTGGAGACTGGCTGGGGAGGAGAAAAGGGAGGGAGACACTGTAGGATATCACAAAATAAAACCAAAAAATTGGAGAAAACAAACTTTCCCAACTTAAAAGCTATCCTTGTGCCCTAATCGGTTTGGCTCAGTGGATAGAGCGTCGGCCTGCGGACTGAAGGGTCCTGGGTTCGATTCCAGTCAAGGGCATGTACCTTGGTTGCGGGCACATCCCCAGTAAGAGGTGTGCAAGAGGCAGCTGATCGATGTTTCTCTCTCATCGATGTTTCTAACTCTATCCCTCCTCCTTCCTCTCTGTAAGAAATCAATAAAATATATTTAAAAAAAAAAAAAAAAGCTATCCTTGAAATAAGCTGCCCTTCACTACCTGGACGGCAGAGGGCGCCCTCGAGCTGGGAATCTTACAAACTACTCCACCCCGCCCACCGGGCTGTGAAATTCGCAGACACACGCAGAACCACGAAAAATTGGAGTTCCCTCCCCCGGGGCCCGGGTTCAGCTTTCACGCTGCAAATAGGTTTCCTTTTCGCTGTTTATTTAGCGCCTCGCTTGGTGCTTTGTGTTGGTGGTTTTGCTGTGTAACGTGCGGTGCTGAAGTACAAGCTGGCGCCCCGGGCACAAGGAGGAAACTCGCCTCGGGCTCCAGGGACAGCGCGTGGGCTGTGAGCTCAGTGTCAGTGCGTCAACAACACACACCGAATAGGTGTCTCCGGACGGAAGCACACGTCTAGTCGGGTCGTGGACTGAGCAGCTGATACGCATGTGCCAACGCTGCCTGCAGGAGCCCAGCCCTGTGCTGCCCACCGGCCACAGCTCAGGGCTCGATCATTCAGGGTTCACAGCCACTGCGTAGAACACAACTGCCACACATAATGTGTCACCTTATTCCCTGTGCACGAAGCACCACGAGACGTCTATTCTCCTTATTTTATTTTGTTTATTTACTAGAGGCCCGATGCACGAAAATTCGTGCAAGAGTAGGCCTTCCTTCCCCCCCCCCCCCCCCCCCCCCCGGATGCGGGACTGGGTTCCCTCCGGCCCCGGTTTCGTCAGGAAGGACCTCCGGAATGGCATTCGGAAGAAGGCGGGCTAAAGAGGATAATGCCCTTTTATTATTATGGAATTTTTAAAATTTTTTAATTGATTTCAGAAAAAAAGGGAGAGGGGGAGAGAAAGAAAAAAATAAATGATGAGAAAAAATCATGGATCGACTGCCTCCTGCAGGCCCCCCCCCCCCACATCAGAGCGAAGGGGAGAACTTTTGGGGGAGAGGCAGGGAAGACCCCGGTAGGGCTTAGGCCGCTATCCCATCCGGGGCCCCCCCCCAAATAGGCCAAACCCCTTCCCCGGAGCGCCGTCCCCGCCTCCGTGTGCCTTTATTTTTTAAAAATGTTTTTTCCCATTACCCATTTCCCCGCTATTGGCGACTCCAGCTGCCCCCCCGCCCGCGCCCCTTGATAAAGTTTGTGTTTTGTCGCGCATGAACAGTAACGTCATGTCTAGCTCGGGTCCTCTTAACTGAAAAAATACCCCACTACATTCTTGTCTTTCAAAAACCTGACCCTTTTTCAAGTCTCGGCTGTTATTCTGGGGTTTAACATAAAAAAACGAGGAGATAACTCGGTCCTAATCTTCCAAAGAA